TTGACAGCAAACATACTATAAGACGACAGATTCCGCAGTGGTTTACACCTTTTGAGATCAGCAATGTTTGCTACAGATTGGCATTCAACAATTTTTGACTCATTTCTCTTAAGAGTTTCTGCTACTTTCGCATCTAGAATATGCCCTGCTCACATTTATCGGTGGAAAATGTGTCCACATTAAGAGTCCACAGTAGGTACAAAGGCACTCACGGGTCATGCACTGGAACTCGGTCCATCTTTATCAAATTAGAGACAGATTGAGCCATGTTGAACAATAATAAAATGCGGATGCTTTGTCTTCTCTCCACTGTGAGATCCAGAAGTGCCTTTGTACCTTCTTTTGATGATTTGTATGGATATTTCTTTGTGGATGAACACCCAGGCACTTACCTTCCAAATAAAGTGCAACGACTGCCCTTGGGACTATAAATATCCACCCGCTGGTGACCCGATTTTCCCCTACTGCAGTTAACCAATACTGTCTACTCAGCTACCTTAGCCTGAGCTTGTGATGGGACAGTAAAGGAGCAGCAGCGGGCCGATGAGGTTGCGACTCACCTCTTCTCCATTCAACATATTTCTATCAGCAGAAGTGCATCAGATATACCGGACTAGCTTCTGTTTTGCTTTTCCCTCTCCCAGTCCGAGTTTACCTGAAGAAACTCAATGTAATATTTATATTGCTGGTACTATGCAATACCACCTGGTCAGCTCCCTGCCATAGCTCGTTATTGGGACAGTGAAGTAGCAGACTTATGAGGTCATCTCTCCTCCTGTCAACAGGTTCCTTGTCAGCAGAGGTACAATTGCTTGGCTTCTATTTTGCTCTCACTTTCCCCAGTCCAAATAAAAATAGGATTACAAAAAGGTTACTATCAAAATTACAATTTAGCATTTGTACTAGTTTCACAAAAACATTTAAAAAAACAACACTTTTTTAATTAACACAATGCAAAAAAAAAAAAAGTTTTAAAACTCTAGCCAAGAACCACGATAATTCACTGAATCCATAGGACTGTCCAATCATGAGGAACAGAATAGGAACCTGAGAAAGAGGGAATTCTGTTCAAAAGGCTTAGTCCACTGGTGTCTGCATTTCCAGTTATTTGACAAGGAAATCCTGCTTTTGGTTTCATTTAGATTTCTTGACTAGCGTGTGGATAACCACTGATGACCATCTTCATGTTGAGCCTGCTTATGCCCCTGCTAGCAACTGACACCTTTAGAGAAATGCTGATAATGAGGCCCATTACAAGAAGTACAACATTCAATATGGAAGCCAACCATAACCACCATTAAAAAGGCACCTTAGATAAAAACATTTTTGTTAAAAAGCAAGTTTTGGTTTTTTTTTTTCCTCACGCCTCTTATAGCTTCCTGAACTTGTTAGCATTAGATTGTTCCCATCAGGGATGAGGCATACCGTTAGATCGAACTGGAAGTTGATGAGACCGCATAAGTGTCAGTCAATAAGACTTTGACATCCCATTATTATTTTGTTCTGCCCATCCTCCAAACGTCACAGATAAAGCACCTTCCTTGTTACAAAATAGATAAAATTAAAAATGAATGCAGTGCAACATTTTTCATGACAATATTGCACTGGATTTGCTACAAAAACTTTTACACTGCAAGGCTCTGACATTCTTAAAAAAAAAAAACCCTTTGCTAAAAGGCCCAACCTAATTAAAAACAGCTTCTTCTGCAGCAGCGACTTTGATTTCGCTTATTTACACATTAACTTCAGCCTCCTTTTGGAAAATCTAGTCTATTCACTGTAACACGCAGGCCCTTTTATCTGCCCTGGACAGCATTTTCTCCAGCAGATGAAGTAGATGCCGATTGATTTGCTGTCGAGCATGGTAAATTAATAGCAACAAATTGCTGAGGGCCAAGCTCGCTGCTTCACCATGCTTCGGCAGTTTTGCTTTATTTGCTCCATGATGGGCAGCAGTCAGCCCTCTTCAAGTCAATTTCTTCTTAACAACCTGCAATACTTTTCAATGGTGAAAATAGAGCTATTCCTTGTAAGTCAAAAATCAATATCCTATAGCCCTTAGAAAATGCTAAACAAGCAGTATTGGCAATCCACTTGGTACTAGAGGGTATCAGATATAAAGCTAATCCATACGGCCTCCCTCCTTCAAGTTATTACAGTTTGCTAAAAGGATTCTAATGCCATTTATCATCATTTGCCATCGACTGCTGCATCTACAATTATGACATCCTATCAGGCTGCCGAGTCCTTTCATGTCTGCTCAATTAATATTTCAGCAGCACTTCAAAATGGCTGTTGCCCAGGTCTAGCAATAAAATGTACATGGCAGGAGCAACAGATTCGTTTTTAGTCGGCGCGGATGCATTTAACCCCTTTTGTGCAGCCTAGAGCTTGATGCTCATTGCAACAAATGCTACAACATTTGTGGCAAAATGAACTGCGTTTAGCGGTTCCACGTTAAGTATTAACACTGCTGTACTTGCACTTCAAAAAGGGGAGTACTACTTCCACATGGTGTAATCACACACTGTGTGTGTGTGTGTGTGTGTGTGTGTGTGTGTGTGTGTGTGTGTGTGTGTGTGTGTGTGTGTGTGTGTGTGCAGAGGGTGTGGAGTGTGT